TACTAACCTTTTTGCATTTGAGGCACCATCCGTAAAGAGGGTCTATATCCCCGAAGAAGTCCCCAAGTTTACCAACAACTCTCTTTCGACTTCCGATATTAGGGCCGGCGTAAAATCTGCCACAGAGTCTGCTAAAATTTGAGATATAATGGCGATTCGACGTCGAGATTCAATATCGTACCTGCTGATTTCCATGATCTATTTAGCCAATCGTCCCGAGAGCTCGGGTTTATGCATTATATTTCCCAATGGGTAAGCAGTCACGACACATATAAGATGACATTGAAAATATGATTTTAGCTTCCTCGAGGCGCTTAGCAAAGCGGGCGCCAATTGTTCTAGGTGAGGGTACCTAGTTTTGGCCTTACCTAGAGTCCTGCTAACATACTAAATAGAAAATTGCATACCTTGCTCTTCCCGGACCAGGACTCCACTTACCGCTATCTCCGATACAGTCAAGTACAGGTATAGTTATTCTTCTGTCTTCGGCGTGTGAAGCAGCGACGGGCTCGATAGATACCGCTTGAGTTCCTCCAAGGCCTGTTGGCACTCCAGGGTCTATGAGAAGTTATTCTTCTTCTTCAATAGTGAGAAGAATCGATGGCTCTTATCGGAGAACCTCGAGATGAATCGCCCCAGGGCGGCTATGCATCCAATTAATCTTTGCATGGCCTTCACGTTGTCCACAACCGTGATATCTTCAATGGATTTGATCTTGTCAGGGTTGATCTCGATTCCATCGTTGGATACCATGAATCCAAGGAATTTACCTGATCCAACTCCGAACGCACACTTCTCCGGGTTCAGTTTCATATTGTATTTCTTCAGTATGTTGAAGGTTTTCTTCAAATGTTTTAAATGGTCCTCTTCTCGCAGGGACTTAACCAACATATCATCAATATAAACCTCCATTGATTTTCCTATTTGTTCCCCGAACATCCGATTTACTAGGTATTGGTAAGTGGCACCGACGTTTTTTAATTCGAACGACATTACGTTATAGCAGTACATACCGTACTTTGTGATGAAGGAGGTTTTTTCTTGATTGTCCTGGTTCATCCGTATTTGGTTGTACCCGTAGTAGGCATTGAGAAAACTGAGGATCTCGTGGCTAACTGTGGCATCAATCATGCGATCGATGTTGGGCAGAGGGAAGGAGTCCTTGGGATATGCCTTATTCAAATTCTTATATTCTACACATATTCTTAATTTATTCCTTTTTTTAGGGACTACCACTACATTCCTTTTTTTAGATACCTCGTCCTTGATGAAAGCATGTTTGACCTCGGACTAAGGTCTCCTCTTTTGCTTGACCGGGTGGAACTTCGAGTCCAGGCTTATCTTGTGAGTGGTTATCTCCGGCGAGATCCCTATCATATCAAGGTGGGGCCAAGCAAAACAATCTTTGTTAGCTATAAGAAATTGGATGAGGTTTTTCCTCAGCTCGGGGATTAACCCGATACCAAGGTATACCATTCGATCTGGGTTTGGTTAATACCAATCGGTCCAGTTCCTCGACCGTTGATTTTATGGTGTCTGAATCGTCGGGGACTACGAAAGATCTGCCTCGTTCCTCCGATCCTGTCGATGATTACTATTTGGCCCCTCTTTTGACCATCCAACTCGGGTCCTCCGATGTTGAGAGTGTGGATGCCGGAATCAACTCATCAACCGCGAATATCTCCTTGATGGCTGGTTGTTCCCCATAAATTGTTTTGACTCCTCCGAGTGTTGGGACTTTCAGCACCTAGTGCATTGTCGAGGGTATTGCCCTCATGTTGTGAATCCATGGTCTCCCGAACAAAGCGTTGTATCTCATATCCCCTTCTATTATATAGAACTTGGCTTCCTGTATGGTTCCGGCGATGTTAACCGGTAATGTTATCTTCCCTTTAGTGGTCTCGCATGCCATGTTGAACCCGTTCAGGACTCAGGCCGCAGGTACGATCTGATCTTGTAGGCTGAGTTATTCTACGACCCTTGATCTGATGATGTTGGCTGAGCTACCTGGATCAATTAACACACGCTTAATTCGAGATTTATTTATGAGTACCGATATTATCAGTGCATCGTTGTGGGGCTACACTATCCCCTCATCATCTTCGTCATTGAAAGACAAGATTCCTTCCCGTACGTAATACCGAGTCCGTTTTTTCCTTATGATGGATACTTTGGTGCGCTTTAGCATCGGACCCAAGGGAATATCGACTCCACCAATAATCACGCTTATGACATGCTGAGGCTCTTCCTACTCGGTCTGTTTATTAGAATCCATGTTCCTGAAGTGGTTCTTCGCCGATCACTCAGGAATTCGTGGAGATGCCCGTTGTTGAACAGTCGGACCACCTCTTCCCTTAGTTGTCGGCAGTCTTCTGTTCTGTGGCCATGAGTTCTATGATATTTGGATATTAGGTTGGGATCCCTTTGGGATGGATCGGACTGTAAAGATCTAGGCTACTTGGTATCTTTGATGCGTCTGATGGAAGATACGATAGCGGCGACATCGATGTTAAACTTGTATTCCGATAATCTTGGTACTTCTTTAGGCCTGTCGAAGATGTTTTTGCTCATGAGTCCCCAGTTGCTCTGACCTCGATCCCTTCTCCTTACGTTTCTCATAGAGTTCCGTCCGGACCCACTGCTTCTTCGGTCCCTATTGTACGGCTGATACCGATCCCTGTTTGATCTCGGTTCACGATCGATGTCTCACTTGACTCTATCGATGGTTCTGATGGGATATACAGACCCGGAAGGGGCCCCAAGCTGATCATCATCGACCCTGATCTTCGATTGATACCTGTTATGGAAATCGGCATAAGTGACAACTGGATATTCCACCAAGTTTTGTTTTAACTACTGTGAAGCCAACGAGCTCTGAATGTTGAGTCCTTGGGTGAAAGTCTGAACGACCCAATCATCAGCGACCGGTGGCAGGTCCATCCGTTTCATTTGAAACCGTTACACGAATTATCTAAGCATCTCATTATCCTTCTCTTTTACTTTAAAAAGGTCCTACTTCCTAGTCTCGACCTTGATAGCCCTGGCATGTGCTTTCATGAAAGAATCTGCAAGCATAGCAAATGAGTCAATAGAATTATGAAGTAAGTTGTAATACCATATCATAGCTCCTTTTGACAGGGTCTCTCCGATCGTTTTCAACAAGACAAACTCGATCTCAGCATCCTCCAAGTCGTTCCTTTTGATGGAATATGTGTAGGAAGTAACATGCTCGTTTGGGTCGGTCGTTCAATTGTACTTAGCAATCTCGGGCATGCAAAACTTCTTAGGGATCGGCTTTGGAGCCGCGCTCGGAGGAAAAGGTTTTTGCACGAACTTTTTGGAATCCAGTCCTTTCAATATCGCTGGCGCGCCTAGGATTTGGTCGACCCTGAAATTATAGATTTCTATCTTTTTATCATTAGCTTCAATTTTCTTCTCCCCTGATTCCACCAGTTTTGTCAGTTCTTCGAGCATCTTTATGATCTCAGGGTTAGTCCCCAATTCGTTTTCATTTGACCACCATGCGACCAGTTCATCCCTACGGGTGACTTCCCGGGACGGATGAGGTTCAATTTTACTCGGTGCGCGGTTCTGTAACTGAGCTATCGCCGCCTGTTGAGCCTGTAATATTTTGAAGATCATCCGTAAATTGATCCCGTCTCCTCCAATCTTTTGTGTATTTTGAGTTGCCGATCGGGCTCTACCACGGATGCTATTCTCGGGACCGGTAGACAGATTTGCGTTGATAGCCACATGTGAATTAGCATCAATCGGGTCCGCGACCGGAATTTCGATGGGATCAACGGGTGGTACCTCGTCATTGGGCACTATGTTGTTATTTTCACCGTGTTGGCCGAACTCATTGTCAACATGTAGGGGTATTGATTGAGAGTTCGACATTTCGAGCTTTAACTTGAAATTAGAGACACTTTAAAGAATAAGTGTAAAGTAGTGTATGTTACGGAAATTTGTATCAAATAACCACTATTATCATTAGCCCCACGGTGGGCGCCAAACTGTTTACCCTCAAAATCGGATAACAATTAAATTTGTAAGTATTTTTAAGGATACGTGGATTAACTTGAAAGAAAGTGATAAATTAAGTTGCAATTGAAATAATTAATGATAAAGTAAATTCAAACCACACGAATTGGACAGTTTCAATCTCGGAAGGTTAGCCACCCTCGAGCCAGACGCACTTTGAGCAGTATCTCGCTACAGAAGAACAACAACTTAAAGAGAAAAATAATAATTTATTGCTTTAGAATGTGTGTTACCATGTTCTAAATGAATTATCAGACCCCTTTTATATAGTAGAAGAGTCCTACTTTGGGTACAATTTTATAAAAGGTAAAAAATCTCTTGATTTGCTGATTGCCAGTTCCTCATTGATACGTGCCAAGATTCCTGCCGCAATATCCGACCGGTCATGGATATTTCGGTCTTCTATTATGCTAACAATGTTTCTTTGAGATCGTTCGGGGCTAGGATCGATTTCGGGATCACGGCCTCGATATTCTCGAAGGCGGGCATTCCAATCTCGGGTTCTAGCTTGATGGGACTTGGGGTCGATCTTTAGTCCTTTATTGCCATGTACCGAACCTGACCTACCATGTCGTAGGTGAGCTCGATTTCGACGTATACAAAAAGAAAAGTGAAAAGTCTAGCAAATTTCCCACTATCGATCGATTAGACTATTTCTAGAGAAACCAGCAATCGAAGTCTGAAAGTTACTTTCCAGGAAATTAAATATGTAACGCGGGAGAAAGATCATATTCGTAGTTGAAGCATAGGGCTCAAGCAACTTATAAAAACTATGACCAAATCAAAGTCGGTCTTTTGGATAAACTTGCAACTCTGTTGAACATGGCTAGAAGCCACACATGGTCAACTCATACGAAAAGTTTACAACCAATCACAAAAGGCCGCTTAAAGGCTATATATACATGTTGAGATATTGTTTCTTCAGAGAATTAATTAATTAAAGTCTAAACAGAAATATGGCACGATTAATCTATGGTGTGGGAGATGGTGGCTCAGCAATTGAGGGTTCGGGTCTTATGATAATGGTGGGAATGGTGGTTGTGTCTATTTTGATGATATCAATGGTCATTTTTGCTTGCGGAGACTCGTCGAACGGCCGCAAGAAGAGCCATTGGGTCAGCGGTGGGCATAACGGTGGGGGAGGCGGCTGCGGTGGCGATGGTGGTGGGGGAGGCGGCTGTGGAGGCGGTGGTGACGGTGGCGGTGGTGGAGGCGGCTGTGGAGGCGGTGGCGGTGGTGGAGGCGGCTGTGGAGGCGGTGGAGGCGGCTGTGGCGGATGCTGAGTAAGTCAATAATTCCTATGGTTGTGGAGTCATATTGCAATAGCTTATCTTTTGGCTCGTGTAGTCTGTAGATAAGAGGCCAAGTAATTCTTTTCAGAATATTAACTCTGCATGCATGGACTATCCAAGAAACATTATCACTATTTCTAGATCGTAAAAGTTATTGTTGTAAAACTTTGTATTGTAACTGTTTCAACTGTTTCAATTTAGACGAGGTAGTTTGATTTGGCATAAGTAAAAAAAGAAGATTTTTAAAACTTGTGGTCTAAAAAGTTTAAAGGGTAAAAGTTTTGTGGTGTCATGACATTTGTGTAGTTATAAAAATTTCTCATTAAGGGTAAAATGGATAAAATGAATAATTTAAAATTAAATTATTTCTAAATTTAAAAATATGTCATTTATTTTGGAACAGACTAAAAAAAAAATATCTGATCTGTTTGAAATGGAGTGAATAGTTAATAAAGTGGAGACACATTAATTTGTTTAAGATAATTTCTAGCGCTTCTTTAAGTTAATTATGTCTTCTTCTTGGTGATGCTTTATCTCCTGCTCCCAACATTTCAATTTATTTCAACATAGTATGATTCAGTATAGAGTTTAAAAAGAAAATGAATTTATGTGGCTATAAAATATTTGAAACTTATGTCATAAAAACTTTTCATTAAGGGTAAAGTGAGTAAAATAAAAAGTTTAAGAAAATTGAAATATATCTTTGTTTTGAAAAAGAAAATATTATACTCATTAAGGGTAAAGTGGGTAAAAGAAGGTTTTCTCTTATATACTCCCTCCGTTTCAATTTATATGAACTCATTTGACTGGACACGGAGTTTAAGAAAAGAGAGAAGACNAGTCTAAACAGAAATATGGCACGATTAATCTATGGTGTGGGAGATGGTGGCTCAGCAATTGAGGGTTCGGGTCTTATGATAATGGTGGGAATGGTGGTTGTGTCTATTTTGATGATATCAATGGTCATTTTTGCTTGCGGAGACTCGTCGAACGGCCGCAAGAAGAGCCATTGGGTCAGCGGTGGGCATAACGGTGGGGGAGGCGGCTGCGGTGGCGATGGTGGTGGGGGAGGCGGCTGTGGAGGCGGTGGTGACGGTGGC